GGGCCAATTCGCTATTCTGTACCGAAGTCAATTCGGTAGTGGAGGTTTGGTTCATTAGGGCCTCAATCCGTTTACTCCGGTGGAGGTTAGTCGCCCGCTAGAGACTCAGATTGAGAGGGTCTGGAGACCTTTAGTCGAGACTTCAGGCTAATTGAGAACCTTCCGCAGTATAACTTTCATGAAAACTGAACTTGGCAAATTGCAATCCGACTTAACTGCAGTCTAGGGGGAAACCATATCCGGGTGACCTCTCTTGACTTGAAAACAAACCGTTTACTTGCTCTGTGTTTTGTTTGCTTGAGTTTCACTAAAAGTTCACTGCTAAATAACAAGAATTCACCGAGTAGTCATCACATCTAGGACCCGGGTTGACATTAAAACCCGACCCGCTATACTACGCTTTAGGAATTGGTTATACTTGGCCATTTTCTAGGGTGACAGTAGGAGTGAGTCAACCCACCTGATCCTTCAGGATCAAAACCGTATGGGAAAAATGCTGAACATGGTGCGGGGAACCTATCCCCTTTGAAGAATAGATGAGAATATTGAGCTATAACTGTCGCGGGTTGGGGAGTAAGCGGGCAGTTAGAAGTCTTAGGTCGCTACTGCGACAATCATCCCCTCATTTAGTTTTCTTAATGGAGACTAAACAAACTAAGGAAGAAAATGATGTGTTGTGGAATGAGCTTGGTTTTGTTGGAGGTGTGAGCTGGTCGTGTGTTATATCGGGTAGAGGAAGAGCAGGGGGAGTTAGTATTTGGTGGATGGAGGAAGCAAAGGTAACCCTCATGGGAGCGGACCTACACTACCTAGACGTGAAGGTGGAAGATGGATTACACGGGGAGTGGCGGTTTACCGGGATTTACGGTTGGCCAGAGGGGAATGAAAAATATATGACGTGGGATCTGATAAGAAGGCTGGGAACTCATTGGGACGGACCTTGGCTATGCGCTGGGGACTTTAACCAAGTCCTATTGGCGGCTGAAAAAGAAGGTGGCAGGCCGGCTAATGAAGTGGAAATGGCTGCTTTCGGGGACTGTTTAGTTGACGTGGGTCTGCATGACCTCGGCTTCCAGGGGTATGCGTTCACATGGGAGAATAATAGGTCGGGCGATGGCTTTATAGAAGAGCGCCTAGATCGTTTCTTGGCATCACAAGGGTGGCTGGATCGGTGCAGCAAGGCTAGAGTCCGACACCTTGAGAAATTCAAATCGGACCACCGGCCGATCGTTTGTGAAACCAATGGGGAAGATGATGAGGAACCTGTTTGGGGTTGGACATTTCGGTTCGACCCGTACTGGACTAACCATGCTGATTGTGCAGGTGTAATTGACGAGGCGTGGAAGGGGACCGGGAGTGCGGATATTTTGACCAAAATAGCCAACTGCTGCTCGAAATTGGAAGAATGGAGCCGAAGAACATTTCCAAAATTCACAAAACAAAAGAAACGCATCAAACGAGCACTGCAAGCTCTAGAGCGAGCGCCTAAGACGGAAGTAAATTTGCAGCAACGAAAAGCATTGGAAGCGGAGCTGGAGGAAGACGAGGAACAATACTGGAAGCAGAGATCAAGAGCAGACTGGCTGAGGGAGGGCGATAAGAATACAAACTTCTTCCACAGAAAGGCGACTGCTCGACGAAAACGAAACACGATAAAGAAGTTGAGAGACCTGATGGGACGGTGGCACCTTGGTACTGAGCAAGTTTCTAACTGCCTACTGGATTATTTTGGCTCTTTATTTTGTGCAGGGCAGGCGCCAGAAGTGACGCCCGTGCTTGACTCGATTCCCCAGTCGATCGGCGAAGAGGATAATGCAGAACTTATAAAGCCGGTGACAAGTGAAGAAGTTTGGCAAGCACTGAAGCAGATGGGAGCAAGAAAGGCTCCTGGTGATGATGGTCTCTCGGTGCTGTTCTTCCGAAAATACTGGGGGACGGTGGGGGAGGATGTGGTGAGCACAGTACGGGGGATCATTGAAGAAGGGGTGATGCCGCAGGGGCTTAACCACACAGTTATCGTACTAATCCCGAAGGTAAAGAGTCCTACCTCTCCGGTGGAATTCCGACCGATAAGTCTATGCAACGTCCTGTACAAGATGGCTTCGAAAGTGCTGGCGAACAGGCTGAAGGGACTGTTGGACAAAGTGATATCACCAGCACAGAGTGCGTTTGTGCCTGGAAGATATATTACGGACAATGTGATGGCTGCATTTGAATGTTTTCACACGATGAAGAAGAAAAAGAAAGCAAAGGTGGGTTACTTCGCGGCAAAAATAGACATGGCAAAAGCCTATGACAGGGTCGAGTGGTACTTCTTGGAAGGCGTGATGCGAAAGATGGGATTTGCAGAACAATGGATTCGACGAGTGATGTTGTGTGTGGAAACGGTGTCTTACTCCATTTTAGTGAATGGTCACAAGTCGCAGAGCTTTAAACCGGGTCGCGGAATTAGGCAAGGGGACCCGTTGTCGCCATACTTGTTCCTACTATGTGCAGAAGGTCTCTCGGCATATACCGAAAAGGCGATCCAAGATAAGAAGCTGCATGGTTTGTCGCCGGCACCGGGGGCGCCAGTTATCTCCCATCTATTTTTTGCTGATGATAGCATCTTCTTTGCCCGGGCGACGCAACAGGAGAGTGAGACATTGAAGAGAATTTTGTCGGACTACGAAAGGGAATCGGGACAGTTGGTAAGCTTGCCAAAATCAGGGGTATCATTCAGTGATAATGTTTCGGCCCATCACAGGCTCCTGGTCAGCGGTACTCTGGGCATGCCAATTGTTGCCAAACATGAAAAATATCTCGGGCTCGCGACGGTAGCCGGACGATCAAAGAAGGAATTGTTTACAGGAATTGTTGACCGCATAAGAAAGAAACTGAAGGGATGGAAGGAGAGGGTGATGTCGGTTGCAGCTAGGGAAGTGCTCATTAAGTCGGTTGCTCAGGCACAGTTGTCTTACGCAATGACGGTGTTCAAGGTGCCGGAAGGAGTGTTGGACGAAGTACACGGAATGATCATGGCCTTTTGGTGGGGACAGAAAGGGACCGAGAGGCGGATAAGCTGGATACGAAGGGAAGAAATGGTGTGTTCGAAGATGGAGGGCGGGATGGGGTTTCGCGACTTGAAGGGATTCAACACGGCGCTATTAGCAAAGCAGCTTTGGAATCTTTATCAACGGCCGAACTCATTCATTGCTACCATTCTCAGAGCCAAGTACCATAAACATGTATCCATTTTGGACGCTAGGGTGGGCTTTAACCCCAGCTACATGTGGCGCAGTCTGATGTCGGCGGTGGAGTTCCTGAACAGTGGGTTGAGATGGCGGATTGGCAACGGAGATGCGGTGTGTATCTGGGGGGATAAGTGGATCCCAAACAGCCCTGAGATGTTTGTGTCGTCAGCACCGCGAGGTCTCCCGGTTGACTCTCGCGTCAGTGCACTCATTGATCCGGTGACTGAGCAATGGGACCCCTCTCTATTGGAAAATTGTTTCCCGAACGGGCTTGTTAGGAATATCCTACAAATCCCACTCCGAGGCATTCATGAACCTGATCGCTTGATATGGAACGCGAGCAAAAATGGAGCATACTCCGTCCGGGAAGGATATAGAGTCTGGTTGGAAAAATTCAAAGAAGAGAATGGAGTTAGTGGGTTTGGGGAAGAAGCAGTATGGAAGAAGATCTGGAATTTGAATATTGCTCCAAAGATAAAGCACTTTCTGTGGAAATTTGTAAGAGAGGTGCTTCCGACGGGAGACCACATTAGCGAGAAGAGCCAACGCCGTGGGGACAAGTGCCCGTTCTGCGACCTCCGAGAAACACAGATGCATTTGTTTGGCGAGTGTCAATGGACGTGCCGGATTTGGAGAACGTCGGAAGTGGTGGCCTGCTTCGATTACCAACCGGCGCAAGACTGTTATAGCTGGTTCAAGCAAGTTTTGGAGAAGTTTGATGAAGAGACATTAGAGAATTGGAGTGTGCTTCTGTGGTATCTATGGAGAGAGAGGAACGCACAGCTGTTTAATGGACAAAAGGTGGCGGAGGAGGAAATCGTCACACGAGCTAAATACTATCTCCAGGACTACAAAGCGAATCAGGCAAAGAGGAGGGAGGAGACTGAAGCCCGAGCGGAGAAAGGGTGGGAGCCTCCATCACTGGGGGAATACAAAATCAATACTGATGCCGGATTTGGAGTAGCTGGGGGAGTGAATCTGGGTGTGGTGGTCAGGGGAGAACAGGGCAAGTTCACGTTGGTTGCTGTGAAGCGACTGGAGGGGGAATATGAGGTTGAAATGGGAGAGGCCTTGGCGGTGGAGTTTGGGCTGATGTTGGCGAAGCAATTCCAGATCCCGAAACCAATCCTGGAGACGGACTGTTTACCACTGGTTCAGAAGGTTCAGGCGGCGGAGGAGATTCAGACTGAGATCGGCACGGTGTGTCGAAGCATTCGAAGGCTTTTACAGGAGACTGGACAAGGATCACTGAGACATATCCGAAGGTATGCAAATGAAGCAGCTCACCAGATGGCGCAGCTCACTGTGTGTCCTAACGATGCTAGTGTTTGGGTGGACTTTCCACCGCAAAGTTTGATTAGCCAGCTGCAGCTTGATATTGTAATGGCACAATCTGGTTAATAAGATTCTAGCAGGTTTACCGTCAAAAAAAAAAAAATCTCATATATAATTTGAAGAAAATGGTTATTTTTAACAACAAAACAAAACAAAATAATTCATAAGAAAATAGAGATAATGTGTAAGTTAATTGAGTCTAATTAGTTGAAGGACAAAATCTTGTACTTATCTAAAGTATCATTAGCTAAAAATGAGTTAAGATAAATAAAATATGAAGAATAAAAATTAATATTTAAAGAAATCGAGATAGAAAGACTATTAAGCATAACGGAACAAAAATAGTACTCATGTCCCGCTTAGGAAAAATCAGGTAATACACAGGAGGCCGATTCAAATTATCATCAAGTTCTAATCATTAAACACTGAACACAGAAATGTCATGAATTGATTGTGCAAATATCTGTTTTATTTAGCTTATTCCCAATATCAAGGACTAACAACTAAAGTTACAATGGAAGTGTCCTCGAGGCATCCTCAACCCTAAAAGTGAAAAAGGGAAACCTATCTAAATATGCACAAACCTTGCCAGGCTTCTCAGAATCCTAATCCTCACCAAGAACTAACTTCAGTTCATTTCAAGCTCTCACCACGGAAGCAACAAAGTGGACACCATGCCAAGTTACAGGTTACTTCTCAAAATCCCTCTAGTCTAGTGGTAGAAGCAAAAAGAGGGTAAAGTAGCTCTACACATGAGACAGCCAAACCCAAAAGCCTCATCCATCCCCACTTTCAGATCCATGTCAAGAAGAGAGAACTGCTGGCTAAACCAGATCTCAGTAGCACATCAGAATCTACAGTGCTTCAGGTGCTTGTAAATACCTTACCTGCTGCAATGGATTAAGAATCCTATGAAAACTCAGCTGAGGTTATTCTGCTCATTCCTGGGTCCCTGTGTAGACTTCCAGAAATCATGTATTTATTATTCCTATAACAATGCTTCCTCACTATGACTGTCATCATGGTCAGAAACTACTTCTTCCTTCTCAAGCTCTTGTATCACCCTCTCTATCTGTCTCCTATACACCGGCATGAAATGATCGCTGATCATGGTCTGAGACAATCTCACTTTACTATAAAGCGACCTCTCTGTAAGAAAAATCCCAACCCTAGTCTCCATTGCTACCGTCTTCTTTCTCTCATCCTCTGAACTCGGGGAGCAAGAGCCACTGCCATCACTATCATCACTAGTCTCGTCCTCAACAGGAAACGTAACTATGTGCATAATCTTTCCAGCAGGGAAGAATCTATGAACTTCCTTTGCCTGTGGAGCAGCAGAGGCTTCTTCACCTAACCCGTCCACCTCAGCGATGGCTTCGGCTTCTTCCTCCCTAATCTCGTTCACCACATCAGCATCCTCGTCGCCTTCATAGAGCTCGTGCTCTAGCTGCTGCCACAGCTCAACTTCATTTATTTGGTCTTCGTGCGTATCGCTGTCATCATCATCGATGTCATCGTGATGGTGAGGAGGTTCGTCGGTGCAGGAACATTCTATTTCGGAAGTCCATTGATCTCCTGAAGTCGATATGGGAATGTCGTCGATGTCATCTGAAGTGGAGTTCTTTGCGGTTTTCTTCATGGGTGATAGTAGAGGTCGAGAAGTTTCGATTTTGGAGGAGGGTGAATGAGGGGAACTTCCTTCACCTGTGTTTGAATGAGCAGCAGTGTTACGATGGCGGGGTCCAATGCACGACCATGAAGATAAAGTAAGGGCAGAGGGGCGTGTTGTCCATGCCGCGTGAGCCATGCTCTGAGCTCTCTTCATCACAACCTGGATACCAAAGAAGATTGAGGACCGATTAGAGCTTGGTTTTTGAACAGAACAAAGTACCATTCCTCCTAAGCTTAGTTACTGTTTCTATTCCACTCCCTGAATTTGAGACTATTTAAGCCCCTACCATGAATTGCTGGTAAAGGTTACAACACAATCATTTTTTACACGTCCAACTATGAAGAGAGCCACATCAGATGGATCAAAAAGAGAATACTAATTGACGAGATGGATTGAAACAGAAATAGCCTGAATGACTGATGTTACCTGTGTACCATTTGAAACTGGGCGTAAAATAGCCCCTGCTCCTGCAACTTTAGCTTTCGCACTGGCCATGGATGGAAGGCGAGAACCCAATGCCGAAGCAGAACGATAAACCGTGCTTAGTATCCTTGTACGCTCAATCTGATTCCTCAAATCATTCAGCCATGCAGATGCTGTGACCTAAATAAAGAAGACTGCTGAATTAAGAAACAGGAGCAGCAATAAGGCATAAGTAACAAGATCACCAATAATTCCCAAAAGAAAAACAACTTCAGGAAGTAACCTCTGCACGAAGATCATCCACAGAAGCAGCGGAAAATGTAGGAACTAAGTCAGCTCCATTTATAACAGAAGTGATGAAATCATTGCCAGATTCAGCCAATTCCCACGTCATACAAGCAGCTGCAAATGAAACAACATGTCAGCTGACATATCCTCAGATATTAGAAGGCATTAATAAATATTCAAAAAACATAAAAAGGATCCAAAATGTATGCAGCTACGACCTGGAGCAAACGTAACACAGGTAGTTGTTAAGAACTCATGCTGTTCCCGCATTACATAGGTCAAAAGTGCTGCAGTTCCTCCACCCAACGAATGCCCTACAATCTTTCAATTCAAGAATGCAGTTAAACGTGTTACTTGCCTCAGTACTAGCCACCATGTCAACCACTCAAAGATGTGTATTCTTTGAAGAAACTAATTCCCTATAAATTTGATCTTTTCCCACATATGCCGTCATAAGAGGGCATCATTACAGATATACCTTGAGCTTATAGTCAGGATACTGGGAAAGAGCATCCTTGAGACAAGGAATTGCTAGCTTTGAAATCCATCGAGCAGCAGCAACCATCCCGCCATGAGCATAACCTAAAACCAAGTTGCTCACTCCTCCCTCATGGACGACAGTGTGATGAAATGGCACCACAGCTCCAGTTGCAGCTGTCAACGTATCTTTGACACTATGCGTCCCTCGTATCAATAGCAGAAACTGTTTCGTCGGGTGATCAACTAAGACTGTAAATGCGGGCTTCAATATCTGAACCATATTAGCAAGAAGATAAATCATCACCACAACCTCATATTGCTTCTTCAAAAAAAAAAAAACCTCATATTGCAGAGACGAAGGTAAAGAGGACAGGTTCACTAATAACAGCTTTACCCAAGACCCAGATCATACATGAAAATAAACAACTAAGCAAAAAGTAAGCAACAAAGATAATAGCAGTTGAAGCATGGCTTACTCCTGCTTTGGGCTCTTGAAGAAGAACATTTTCCACACTGAATCCAGTCTCCTCCAGAAATAAAGGAAAAGGCTTTTTTGAGAAATGCCAACACAAGGTTAACAAGTGTAAGAGGTACTTTAGTTCTGCAGCTATTTCTGGTCCCTCTAGCTGCATACTATCTTTACTGCCAAATACCTCAGCAACAAGTAAGTTTCCCTGCAGATAGGCCATACGCAATCAACTTCCCAAAAAAATCAGAACAACAAAATTGCGCATCGCTTTGAAAGTTGCGATGCTAAACTTCACTTCGAAGAAATATGCAAGACAAAGCAGGCAATTCATCAACCCAGGCAAAAATAAGGTTGTGATACAAAAACTAATCTTCACAAATTCTCGACGCCAAAACAAGAAAAGCAAGCTCACCTGCCTCTTCAATAGGAAGTTAATCCCAAATGCCAAGTCAGCAATCGGCCACTTCCCAAGGGTTTCGGAGTAAGTGAACCTGAGAGTCTCAGACAGAGTAGAGATGGTCTCTAACCATGTACCAGGAGCTTGAATCAATCTACTAGAGACGCGATTGATCCCCAACTGCATCCGAGTTGCTGTCACCTCACTGCCACTATCATTTTCATCATCATCATGGGGTGATTCGCCCGTCTCTAGTTTACGGTTCAAAGTGTAGTACAGAAGGGCTGCCACACCGGCTGCCGTCGCCATTGTTGCTGTCGCCATTAGACTAAGCCTGATTATTCATTACACCACCACTAGCATCGATTAAAACCCTCATCGCCAATCATCAAACCAAGGAAAGCAAATAAAACTCGATTTAGAAGAAACAACCCCATCAACAGAGCACCTAACTATTATCCACATTTCATTGGCAAATTTGGCTTGCATGAGAAAAAACTGGAAACTAACACAGGAAACGATCAAATTAACAGAACATTAAAGCAAATCAAACAAGGAGAAGCAGCGGAACATTTACAATCTTAGTAAAGCCCAAAACAGAGATATCAATACCATTATCGAATCAATCCCACAGGGTAAAAGGAGGAGAAAAAACAAACCCAATACAAAAAATGAAAACTTGCATCGGTATTAAACAATATACAGAACCGAAACAAGAGAGAACAACAATGGAATCACCGATTGACTAATTGATTTGATTAGCGAACCTAAACATAATTATCGGAGGCAGATGTAATCGGAATGAAATGGAGAGAAAAGCGAGCAGCAAATTATCGGGGAGATTGGGGGAGGAAAAAAAGAACCCTAAATCGGAAATGAAATCGGCGAAGAACCTGCTAATGACGGGGAAGCTGATGTGGGTTTGGTTGATTCCTTATAGTTTTTGGCTTCAAAACGACTCCAACAACAACGAAAATAGAATCCCCGAAAAAAAGATCCGAAATTCCGATTACCCACAATTTATCATAGGAGATTACGGCGGCGACCTACAACGGAATTTCGGATTGCCGATTTCCCCGGCACCTTCTTCTTCTTCTTCTTCTTTTTTTTTCTTGGGTCCGAAACGCAAGACTGAAAACTTCGCGTAGAGAAGAAGGGAAAAAGGGCGGTTCTGGATTTTGTTGGGATTACGTGGCGGCGGCAAAATTGAGAAGAATTGAAAAAGTCTTGAATGGGCTTACCACGATGGTTGGGCTGTAAGTCCTCACTCGGCCCATTTGTAGTCACTTCTACAGTTCTACTCCATAGTGCCTCCTTGTAACAGTTTTTTACTTTTTTTTTACTGCATCCTTGTATTTGTAACATTTTAGAGAAAATTCTCACGATAAAATGGTTTAGGTCCTGGTCCATGAAATCGTACCGTACCGGCGGTTCAACCACGAAATACTAGTATCGGAGGTTAAATCGGTAGGCGGTATTTAACAGTACAACGGTTGAACTACGATTAAACAACGGTTTTACCATAAAATACCCTACTGCTGACTTTTCCGGTACGGTTTCATGGACCATGGTTTAGGTAGCTAACAAATCAATCCACGTTGAATCGGTATACGAATCAAATTGAGATTTTATGAGTTGTTTTGGGAAAAAAAATGAAGAAAATAGACCAAATTGAAACGAAGCCGATCAGTGACCAAATTTTATTCAGATTCTCGTTCTTGTTATTATTTAAATTTTAATTTAGACCATTTCGAAACAATTTGAATTTAACACCGAATTGAAACATGTCTCACATTTTCTCTTGGTATTGCTTTCTTTGCTATCACCCGAACATAGATTCGATCCTTTAGATTGCTTTTGGGGGTGTGTTTGCAAGAATAATGATAATCAGTATAATAATGCTCCTCCAGAATCGCCACATTACTTCACGCTAATTGCATGCTTTGATCATAATGAAGGCTAAACTAAAATTCCTTAATCGTCGAAATCATCCTAATGAGCTAGGATTGTTGTATTAGTATTATACTTGCCTAAATAATTGTTGCCAAAAGCAATCATTTAGGGGTTTTGGGTAGGAGGAGTACCGCGATATTAAATAGAGGTGTCAAAATGTAACCCGATCCGAGTAACCCGCCCGATCAACTCGACCTGCAACCCGCCCGCAACCCGATTTGACTAAAAGTCAATGATCCGTAACCCGCCCGACCCGCAACCCGACCAACCCGTAACCCGACCAACCTGCAACCCGATCGACCCGCAACCCGACTAACCCGAACCCGTAACCCGACCAACCCGCAGCCGACTATAATAGAAGGAATTCGATGAAGATAAACTATAAGTTGACATTTGAAATCCTAGTTCACTAAAGTCTGATCATTACATCATTAATTATTAACTTAGTATAATAATATACATCATCAACCTATTAACGCATATAACATCATCAAATATTGATTTAGATTCATCATCAACCTAATAGTCCACATAACATTATAAAATGTTAGTTTAGCATAATAAGATAATTATAAGATTTAAAATACAAATATCCATGACAAGAATACATGACTCATAATAGTTCACATTGTCTCAAGACCTCAAATATCAATAAAACATGTCTAAAAAACAAATTGACATTCCAAATGACGATCACTCTAGAAGCTTTACTTCTTCTCCATCATCCCTCGTATCTTCATCATCATCATCTGTACAATTAATCGGTGAAAAGAAAATAATAAGGAAAAGAGAATAGTTTGTTCAGTACAAATATAACAATTTGTTTTTTCTTACCCATTTGGTATCCTCGTATCCAATTACGAGTTGTCACAACAACTTCAAGAGTATCAGACAAAATCGAAGTTCTCCATTTTGTTAATATTCTTCCTCCCAAACTAAAAGAAGACTCTGATGCAACTGATGAAATTGGAATAGAAAGTACATCCTTTGCCATTTTAGAGAGATGAGGAAATCGAAATTGATGGTCCTTCCAATATTTCCGTTTTGAGTCAATTTCAATTTGCTAGGGGTGGGGCAAGTAATTCGAATTGATTCGTTTTAGTTGCCTCATTTATAAAACGAGACAATTGATCAAATTGACTCATTTATAGATTGACCATCCAAACTAACCCTATATTTAAAAAAGAAACCATTGGTAATCACTAATCTATTTTTGGCTCTTGGAGTGGCGGGCCTTTTAGCCAAAAAGAATTGGCGGCCCTTTTCACTTTTCCGCCTAAATTTTGAACTTTCAATTCAATGCCTAAAATTTGAACTTCCCATTTACCCCGCTTGCTTGCCCGGAAAATGGAAAATTAGCCTCAACACTCGACAACCTTACATTTTTTTTGTATTTTAGTTAATCATTTATCACTTAACTCATATACTTGATTTTGTAAATATCAATTCAAACTCATCCAAATAATTTAAAACCCTAATCATTTGCTTAAGATCGGAATATGTAGGATGTATTATAGTTTTTAGACACAGGCAAACACATTTCATTTTCCCGGTAAGCAAAATCGTCCCCATAGTTTTTGGGGACGACTAACTCGTCCCTAATATTTCGTCCCTTATACCCTTGTCCTCTATTCTTATGGGGACGAAAAAATCTAAGTCGTCCCCAATACTAGGGACGACAGTCGTCCCCTATACTGGTTAGTATTCATCTCCTCTACTCTTATGAAAGACAACATGTCGTCCTCATAGCTATAGCTTTGGCGACAATAAGTCGTCTCCAAAGACATTATTATAAAGGACAATAAGTTGTCCCCAACTAAAAAAATGTGATTTAAGAATAACAAATAGTCCCTTAAACTATATCTTCGAGGACAATAAATTGTCACCTATTTGACTTTTAGAAACCATCAGTGGTCCCTCAACAAGTTTTCTACTAATAACATGCCTTACATGTACATTTTTAGAACAATACATAATACACTAGATAGGAAAGGGTCGTTAAGAAAAAAAAAATACATATTAAGATAAGAGATAACATCTTGTCTCCAACATTTTTCTGTACGTATTCAAATAGAATATCCATAAACGACTGGTAAGAGAACTCTGCCTACCAACAAATACAAAATTTACTTTGCTTAACACTATAGACGTGCTCAACCTCCCTGTTCTGAACCACAAACATGCTTAGCACTAGATTTACTAGGCTTGCTTTTGGAATCTCGAGGTTATGACATTTTGTTGGTCTTGATTTTCCACTCTTCCAATTACTTCAGTGTCCAACTTTGCATAGAAGTTAACAAGTCCTCCTGTTATGGAAACTGAAGTAAAAGGAAATCAAATAGCAATGTAAATAGAGTAAGAAAATACAATCCTCTGCATAGGGTGTGAACACTATAACAAAGAAAGTTGTGCCTATCCTCTATATTCTCCACATATGAAAATATGAACAGATTTGAGCAACGTGCTAAACCAAACATAAAAGCATAAAGGATGAGAACTACGAGTAATGACCAAACTATAATACTAAAAAAACTTTCCTTGTCCCTTTGTTCTATTTGAAGTTCATTACACTTCAAATTGTCACAATCTAAGCAGCATCGATGAATCGAAGATTAGTCGAGGGTCACTTCACTGTTCCTTATATTACTTGAACAATTCCCTTTACAGTCAGCGCACCAGAGGAAAACCTAAAGACAATGACCTGCATTAGGAAGGACAACAACTTCTTCCACACAAAATGTTATAGCACTAAAATTGTACACAAGCATCAGGAATAAGAAGTAAAAGAATAGAGCCTTCTTTGTGTACAAAAATCAGGCGAACAATCAGAACCAAACAAAACTCACGCCTACTAAGAAGTCACAAACATTGAGGCCTTTTATAATTAAACATCAAAGACAAAGAATGATCAGAATCCCCAACTGCCTATTGTAATCACAAGAGAACAGAGATGACTTATAACGAGAAACACGTTGGTTGCTCTTAGCTTACCTTCTAATCTGTAGCAACACATGGTATTCGCCCTCGTCGATTCTGCCGTTGTCTCCATCAGTTACAAGAACACTAACCCCGAGTGGCATCTTTCTTGACTGCACCATCATGATCGTCCATATGCGCTATACCTGGATCGATTGCCCTAAGTAGAAGAAAACCTGAGTTTAAGAGAGAAGACAACCACACAAAGAGATACGGAAGAGCGTAAGAGAATGGGGGAATCGAGAGAAGCATAAATTCGCTTCCGTTGCTCCGTCGCCGCTACTATTTGCTCCTTTGGAGATTATGATGAAGGGAAATAAAATATTAAACCCTAGTTCTGTTTGGCGGAGAATTATCTCATTTTGGTTGGATGCGGGGACGAGTGAATATAGCCCGCCAATATAATTTATGCTCTGGTGCATATTTGGGGACGATTTTGAGAAATTGTCCTCTATATCACTACAACTTTTATTTCCGGAGATAAATTAATTTAGTTGTCCCTTATACGTGTCCCCAAACCTTCTTAATTTTGTAGTGGTAATGGCATTGACAGTCGTGTATTTGGCTTTGACGGTAAAATAGATTTTTTTATTTGATTTTCTTTCCTCAAGAGTCAAGATAGACATAAATCTTTTTAATATATTTTCCGTTATATCTCTAGTTTTTGCCCGATTACATCTCTATTACCCTCTTATCTTCGATTCTTTTGGCCCTATATTTGGCTTTTGCAGCGAAAATCCTACCTAAACTTCTCTTTTTTTTTTTTGTAGTGGTAAAACCCGCAACTCAAACCGCCCGACCCGCAACCCGATTGACCCGCACCCGATTGGCCCGCAACCCGATTGGCCCGCAACCCGCAACCCGATCAACCCGCAACCCGACCAACCCGTAACCCGAATGAACCCAACCCAAACCCGCCCGATTGACACCTCTAATATTAAACGTGGATTTATATTCTAAGATATAAGTGGTGCATGTGCAAATTTCAAACGTATATATTAGTTACGTTTAAATGTATAAATTTACATTTGAACATAATCTTCCGACTGCTTGGACAAGTTTATTGAGATGAACCCATTACATTCACACATAGGTTGTTTGTTAGTGATTATTAAGTTGAGATAGTTACAATACTTGTATTGTTCACGATGCATTGTTTTGTTTTGTTTTTTTGTCAAACAATACAAACATTATTTGCGTGATGTGATAGACATGTTTCATATTAGATTGTTGAGAGTTTTTTTATATTCGAACAATATCTCTAATTTTTTTT